TTGTCCCATCAGTTTAATTTTTCATGTTAGTGACTTTACTCCTTTTTTATTTGGAGGCAGTGTCTCCCTGTAGCTCCAGCTGGCCTGGAACTTGCTATATAGACCAGGCTGGCCTTGGTCCCACAAAAATCCACCTGCCTCTGCCTCCTGAGTGCTGGGATTGAAGGTGTGCACCACCTTTAATCCCACCTGGCTATTTTTCTTGATTACTCTGCTTGGGGTGAGATGAAATCAATCAATGTGGTTTTTACTTGCAATTTCCCAATAGTTAAAAGCACTGAGCATTTTCATGGATTTACTGGCCATATTTACTTCATCGTTTGAACAATGTCTGCTCATTTATGTTTCTCTTTTATTTATTGAGGTTTTTGCTTTCAATTTTTTGAGTTCTTTTTACATGCTAGATGTTATTCCCATCAAAGGAACACATAGCAAAGATTTCCTTCCGTGCTCTAGGCTGTCTCTTCAATCTGTTGGCATTTCAGTGGCGCCTCTTCTGGCAGCTGTTACACTGATATATTTGATTTTTTTCATCTTACTGTCTTACAGTTTTCTAGTAAGCATTAAAATCATTTATTCAGAGCCCTCTCGCTTTCTTCTCTTTGGTAAGATTAGGTTTTCTAGATCTTTTGCATAAATTATGCATATCTTTTGTATAAATTTTAACTAGTTTGCCAACTTCTACCAGAAATCCTCCTGCTGTTATGACTGGGACTATATTGACTTCATAGATGTATTTGTGAGGAATCAATTCTTGCCATTTCTCTTTGCTGCCAATATAAAAATAGATTTTAGCCAATTACCTTATATGCGATGACCTTGATAAATTATCTTAATAATAATAGTTGAAGAAACATTAGTATTTTCTATGTAACTAATATAATTAAATCATTTGCAAAGAGACTGTTCTACTTTTATGTCTGGAAACTGAGCCCAGGGTTTGATGCATGCTAGGCCACTGAGTTACAGCACCTTTTGTTTTCTAAATTTTTGCCTTCATTTTTTTCTTTTTTGGTATGGGTATGGTGTGTGTGTGTGTGTGTGTGTGTGTGTGTGTGTGTGTGTGTGTGTAGGCCAGAGGTCAACATCATCTGTCTTCCTCAATTGCTCTCCACTTTAATTTTGGAGATTGGATCTCTCACTGAACTCTGAGTTCATCTATTTGGTGAGACATCTTTGTCAGCAAGTCTGTGGGATTCTCCCACCTCTGCCTCCTAGCACTGGGATCACAGACATGTGCCACTGTGTCAGCCTTTTACATGGGTGCTGGGGATCTGAACTCAGGTCCATATGTTTGCACAGCAAGCACTTTATCCACTGAACCATCTCCTCTTTGCTTCAATTTTTTTTTTACTTTTACACAGCATATACAGTACACTGTTGAATGAAAGAAGGAAGTTACAGGCTGGGTGTGGTGGTGCATGCCTTTAATCCCAGCACTGGGAGGCAGAGGCAGGTGGATCTCTGTGAGTTCAAGGCCAGCCTAGTCTACATAGTGAGTTCCAGGACAGCTGGGGCTACAGGGAGATCCTGTCTCAGAAAGACCAAAAAAAAAAAAAAAAAAAAAAAAAAAAAAAAAGGAAGTTACTGAATTTTATCAGAACACTTTTCCCTGTATTTATGGAAGAGCCCATATATATGTAAAAGATGTTATATGTAACTAAAATCCTGCCTAAGCAAGTACAAACTCAAGCAAATTTAGGAAGCAGTCAGTGCTACTCAATTTAACCTTTCTCTCTCAGCCATCCACCATTACCATGAAACTAAATGGTTTTCCATGTCTACCGCCTCACTTGTGACAGACCTGAGCTCAGGCAACTTAAAAACTCCTGTTCTTCCTTCCACCAGCACCAGCTGGATTTAAGAATGCTTGTGACAACATTTTTAGGTTTTTCCTCTATTTTTATGGTTGAGAGTCAACATACACATTCTACTTAATGAAAGTTGATGGGACAAAAGACTCGATATTTTAACTTTGGGGACAAAACATAGAATATTGGCATTTCCAGTGACAATTTTTTTTTTCTGAATTACAAAGATTTAGAAGATAGTTGGGAAATACCTAAAAGATGCTATTTTTAAATTAGATATTGGGGGGGGGTCTGGAGAGATGACTCAGTGGTTAAGAGCATTGGCTGCTCTTGGAGAGGACATGAGTTCAGTTCCCAGAACCCACATAGTGGCTAACAACCATCTGTAACTTCAGTTCTAGGGGATCCAACACCCTCTTCTGGCCTCCACCAGAATTGCACATACATGGTACACTTATATGCAGGTAAAACACTCATACACATAAAAATTTAAAAACCATAAATTAGATATATGTAAAACTGTGAAATGCTTGAAACACTTTAATCCCATGTCATATTTTTATTAAGTGATATATTCATGGAAAATAGTCCAAAATGCCTGTCAAGGGAAGTCTTTAATCCCCTAATATACAGTCTTTTCAGGCAAGTCATACATAGGTGAAAAAAGAACTGAAATATACTTGCTAGGAAGAGGGACATTTTAATCTCGTTACTTTTCAGTCAAATGAAATATGTGGACAGCAGTTGGAAATGTCTGCAAGAAAAGATGCACATTAATTCCAGACAACCTGTGTCTCCACATGGTTAGAAATACAAGACACTCGCGAAGGGACACACAGGGATTCTCAGGGCATGCCACAGGTTGGACCTCCAGAGTATTTTTGTTTTAGTGTTTTGCTAAAACTATTTTACATCATTAACTGTATAATATCAAAATGCACAATGAAGCTAACTGCAGTGATTTAAATAATAAGACCCACGGACAATTGTTAAAGTTCATTAGGTTCTTTTTCCCAAGAAAGGCCGATGAGGTAGATTATACTGTACACATACATTGTAAGGAGTAGGTGTTCCAGTTTGTTCAAAGACCACTGACTGTAAGAATCATCTCCCCAACTGAGCCACTGAACAAAGGATCCTCTTTGGAAGATGGAGGACAATTAGCCAGTTCTGGAAATCTTCCTGAATGTGTGTTCCTACAGTGGTAATTCCTCGAATACTTTCTTGAAGGCTATTATTTTCCTAGCTGTGTGCCAAGAACACTTGAGATGGGTTAAGGGTGAGAAGCCGGTAATAACGTTCACAAGCCAGGCATCTAGCCTTTCTTTTGTGTGCAAATAATACTGTCACAGGCTAGCCACTGAACTTTTAAAAACAGCTCTTGATAAGGCAAAAGTTCTTTCGATGCTTAGATGACAGACTTTTTTTTTTTTGTCTTTTTGAGACAGGGTCTCCCTGTAGCCCCAGCTGTCCTGGAACTCACTATGTAGACCAGGCTGGCCTTGAACTCACAGAGATCTGCCTGCCTCTGCCTCCCGAGTGCTGGGATTAAAGGCATGCGCCACCACGCCAGGCCTGACGTTTTTTAATTTAGTTGAAGGGTTTGTTTAATCAAAGAACCCCCTCAACCACACAAATATTAGTTTGCATGTCTATTAAAAATTCTTCTCTAATCAATTAACCTTGTCACTAAGACACAATGTTATATGTAATGTTGATCTTGATGCTGACACTGCCCTCTATATAATAGTTATTTGAAAGTTGTCGTGTTTTTGAATAAACTGACATGATTAATTTCAAGTTACTGTCTTAGAATCTGGCATCTATAGAAAGCAAAATGCTTACTCCTATTGCTTGCATTGCATAATGATGGAAAGCATTTTTTCAGACTGCAAACTCCTTATGTAAACACGTGTGGCATTGATTATCCTCACATAGAAACAGATGTGATGCTGGGACAAATGTAAACCCCTAGGATTGCATATTTGGTTTCTAATGGTTTTCTTTCAGAAAAAGGAGAAAGAAATTCTTAGAACAGATCAAACAAATGGATCTTTGTGTTTCCAAGAAAAGTGTAACAAACTCCTAAAGGTCAGAAATAAAATTATTTGCCTGTTAGATACAAATACTGCTTTGCTTAGATACCAAGACATAACCTAGCATACAAAATCTCTTCTGTATATCACTTATGTTATCATGTTATATTTTGAGAGCTAGTATGTAGAGAAAGAAATGGTTTTTACATTTGTGATTCAACTTTGCTTGGATTGCCAGTGGAAGTCATTTGGGTCTTAAATGTTATTATAACTGACATAAATCCATCAAAATTTCCATCTGTAGATTCCAAGGCACATGTCTGGGTTAAATGAGAACTCTGCCCCCATTTGGAGCTGTTCCTAGGATTCTTAGCTGCAATCTTAGAACAAAAGGCAGAAAGGTGTCTAGTTCCTCAGTACATTTTAGATTTTTTCTAAAGTAGAGACATGAGGACTGTTGTTCTGGCCAACTGCAGGTCTGGAAAATGGCTCTGCAAGTTCTTGACAAACAGGCAGTCTTTGGCTTCCAAACATGCACTAGATTCTGTAGCCCAGAGCTAATGGAGTCAATCCCCAGTGCTTGGCCATGTCTCAGGGTAATGAACACAATCTGCTTTCTCGGTTTATAAAATATGGATCTATGGCATTTGTCAGCACTTGTGGGTAAAAGAAGTTTTGTACTCTTGGGTTGGGGTTGCAGAAGTGACGGTCTGTAGTTGTAAAATGTATAAAAACAAAAGATAAAAAACAAAAAAAAAAAACAAGGAAGAAAAAAAAATATGTTTGATGTGAAAAGGAAATCTGTGCCTGGGACATGAAAGGTTATTCACTGAGCACCATAACCGTGATGAGACGGGAAAGCCTCCAAGGCTGTGGACTCCAAAGAAGGCTAACAAAGTACAAGATGCCCTTTGCCAAACTGAACTTTG